CGCGGCCAGGTGGGCGGCAGGGGCGGGCGTGCGGGCGCGGAAAGCGGGAAGGGCCCCTCCCGCGCCGTGGCGGCCCGCTCCCCACCTTCCCCAGCTCCCAATCTGACGTGCCTGGTACCCAGAGGTTGCAAGGAACTCGGCGCCACGATGCGCCCACGCTCCTCCTCCGGCTCCGGGCACCCACGCCCCTCGAGGTCCCCAGGGGCGAGGCTGACCTCTGGGGAGCCCGAGACCCGAGGCCCCCGCGGCGTGCGGGGTGACTCCGCGCTGGGCCCTGGCATCGCCCCTGAGAGCTTGTGTCCTGCCGGAGTCCTCTGATCGCCAGCCCCCAACCCCTACACTTTGAATGCTCCTTATCTTTGGAGAACGCCTGGTCCTTATAGGCCCGAACCAGGCCTCTTTTGGCTACTAACGGCCCTCGTTCGTTTTATTTTAAGCATGTATGCACTGTAGTGTTTTGCAATTAGCACCGCAAGGATCTGCGAAAAGTTCTTCACCTGAGTAGAGAGAAGAAATGACAAACTCGGTCCAACCGGAAGAACCAGAAAATCAGGCTGAAGGGTAGGATGAAACCAAAGGAAACAGCAGTCTTTTGATGATGATGATGATGATGATGATGATGATGATGATGATATGAGCAGAATGAATTCATGTCAATTGCAGGAAAACGGATGGAGTTTTGAGACCACACTGCTACCTGAAATAAGTCAGACGCAGAAAATTAAATACCGTGTAGCTTCTCTTATATGAGAAGCCCAAAGCATACATAGTCAAATAAAAGAGAAATGGTAAGAAATGGAGGCAGACTTTCTAGAGGTGGGGAAGGGGATCAACGGAAGAGAGGAGGAGGGGGGGATGGAAGGTAATCAAGATGATTTATATGTGTGCCAGTTCTCCAAAGCAAATGTAAATATTATGTCCCAAACATAAACCAACTTTTAAAAATCTGAATATTGGATTTTTGAAGGGTAGCAAAATGGAGCTGTACTAGAGTCAACACTCAACCCTGCCATTTACTAGTCGCATGACCTGGTGCAAATGCATAGCCTCTTTTGCCTCAGTTTCCTAATCTCCAAAATGAGGGTAAGGTGGAGTTACGAAACAGCTCCTGCCCTCCCAAGGCCGCGGAGGATTAAGTGAGTCAGCAGTTCCCAAGTGCTTGGCTCCTGGTAAACGCTAGTAAGAGTCGGCCAGGATTATCATAAATTGGTTCTAACAAAGAAGCAAGCACATTCCATTGCTAGCACACGGATTAAGACTTAGTAATGCCACACAGCAACTACTACAAAAAAAATCATGCATCTTTTCATGAGAAAACTATTGATTTCTGAGCCTCTTTAGGCAGGCCTTGCAGATCAGCACATTCATAACACGCTGTTACACTTTGCAGCCGGGAACTTCTTTAAAACTGTGCCTCAACTGCAATAGCGCCTCTAACACTCATTGCTGTGTTCACAAATCCACCTGAAAAGCAACTAAGAGGAGAAGTTGCTGTCAGAGGATCGCTTGTCTTTCAAAACCACCTCAGAGCTCCTTAAAATGCCTGAGGAGTAGGTATTTATGTGATCTCCTGAAAGACAATAATGTTTTTTAGCATTTAGGCTTTGTGGATCATCAAACACAGTTTAAATAACTTCCTCTCTTTCCCAGAAGGTAAGCATAAAATTCAGAGGTAGGGGGATGGTGATGGCTGGCATTTGTAGCTGATTATATTGGATGTTTTAACTATAAATTGTGTAATTTCTTACCAGACCAGCTACCTATCACAAAGAGTTACACATAGTAGGTACTAATTAAATGTTGTCTGAAAGAAAGTCTGGGTTAAGCAAATGAATACATTAAAAAAGGGAATTCAGTATAATGTGCTAGTCTCTGAAGTATAAGCAGTGAATGCTCAGAATTACATTTTCCTCTCGTATTTATTTCTCTTACACTTTTCATTTTCTGTACCCACCCAGCTCCCTGGGTTTCTTAATGCCATTTTACTGATGTAAGAGGAATTGTAACACCATCTGTCTTTAAAAGGACTGTTTTATTTCCAAATTCAAAGTTCTATAAACAGAGTATTGGCAGAAACCTGTCATCTGGCCCAGGCGTCTTCCTTCAAGCAGATAAATGATTTAATTGTTCCACTAGAAAGACCTTTTGCCCTGCTGTGTCTTTCTCACTTGACTGGTCGAGAAATTGTCCCTTCTGGTGAGTGTACCCTAGTATGTCTGCTTGAATTTAGATCCCCTTCTGCTGGCCTAGGCCACAGAAATATTTTGTAAAAACTACATCATCACCTTTGTAAAAATGTCTATAGATTTATATAGGTTGTTTTTTCTTTAGCTAAAACTCCCAAATCTATTTACTTTTTCCCCAGTGTCTATTTATGCAGAGCCGATGGAAGACCTTATAACCACCTTTACTACTCAGTCTAAGTTAAAATCCAAATTCAAAGTTATTTAGAAAATAATTAATATTACCGAAGGCCAAATAGTGGCATTAACAAGCTTTACTTCTGGCATAGTTTCGGTGGATTGCACTACTCATTTGCATTTTTTGCCTTTGCCTTGGCACCTCCGCAGTGATGCTGAATGGGGCCACGTGACATCCTTGGGCCAATGGGATGTGAGAGGACGTGACTACGCTGTATCCAAGCAGAAGCTTTGTGTGCCTCTGCGTGGTTCACCCCATCCTACCATCCTTGGAGCTTGGGCCTTGACCTTGAGTGGAGCATATCTCAGGTGTTGGCTGCGGCTTTGACTTTTGTCCAAGAATGAGAAGGCCTTCTACACAGTAGATTAGACCAACTGAGTTCAGTAAGCCCAGGCATGCCCAGGAGAGCCAGACCAAACCCACAGGCCTCACATGAAAGTAAGAAGTAATTATTATGAACCACTGAGACTTGGGGGTTGTTACTGCCGTAGAAGTTGACTAATATTGCAACAATGAAAACTGAAATGTCTTCACTTCTTCAACTATATATATATATATATATATATATATATATCACTAAATGATATGCTATTAGAAGTATAATAACCGGTAAAGCATAGGTCCCTTATTATTAATTCATGATTTCATTCTCTAATTTTATAAAGCTTTACTGGGTGTCTACCACTTGTCAGCCATCATATAAAATTGTGCATGTTGTCTCCAGTTGCCTCAGATTTACTATGGAGGCAGGTTTACCGACAAACAGCTTTGGCAGGTAAAACTAAAAGAAAAGGGTACATTTTAGTTCACAGTTTCATTTGATAGTTGCCTGTGGGGCTTAGCCTTGGAGAAGCAGTTCTCCAAATACCTGAAGCACTTTAGAGAAATTATCTTGTTGACCAGTATCATATCCCGCATGACAATGAGCAGTGTAAAACAAAAACCGCAAAGAGAATTCAAGATTGAGAAGCTGTTACAGAGGCATTTTAATGCATCCACTCAGCAGGTCATTTTACGGGACAAGATGTCGAGCACAAAAAGATGCTTTGAAGAATAAGGCATGATCTCCACTTATAATAAAACCCAGTGCAACAGGTAAGTAAAGAATTGTACTATAATGTGACCAGTGCTCTAAAATAAAGCTGTGCTTTAAAAACCGTGGAGGAACAGATGAGGAACTTCTAATTCAGGCTACAGAGCCAGGAAAAGCTACCTCGCTGAAACAGTCACTTCATGTTCTCCTAGAAATAGGAATCTCATGCCCCCCCCACCCAAGAATAGAAGGCCCCCTAAAATGAGAGGTTTTGAGTGATCACTCTTATTTTTCACAAAGTATGGCGTCTTGATCAAAGACATGTTTTCATCAAAACATAAGCTCTAATTTCATCAAAACAAAGCTCTAATTCCCAAAAGCATTTGTAGATATCAATTCATAACTGCAGATATGACCCAAAACCTTTAGGGATTTGGAAAGAGAAAAGAAAGGAAGAAAAAAACAGCAAACCATCATGTTGACCCTTGACTCCCCAGGATAAAGGACAAGACAGACACTCTGTGGTAGGTAATGGCCCCCCAAAGATGTCTTCCTTATGATCCCCTGTTAATATATTAGTGCTAGATTTTGGGTCTGGGATGTCCCCAAAAAGCCACATGCTAAAAGTGTTGGACCCCAACTTATGGCACCATTGAGAGGGGCCTAGTGGGTAGGAGTTAGTTAATTTGGGTTATGCCCTATAAGAGGATATTGGGACCCCAGCCCCCTCTTCTCTTTAGATTCCTGGCCATGGGTAAATGGGCTTCCACCATCATATATGCTCCACCATGATGTGCTGCCTTCCTACAAGCCCAAAAGCAGTAGAGCCAAAAAACCATGGACTGAAACCTCCAAAACCAGAAGCCAAAATAAATCCTTCCTGCTTTTAAACTGATGGTCTCAGATATATTGTTATAGTAACAGAAAGCTGAATAACACAGAAGCGTTTGCAGATGTCATTGGTAAGGATGCTGAGATGGAGAGAACAACCAGATTACTCAGGCAGGACCAATATAATCACAAAAGTCCTTTTAAGAGGAAGACAAGGGGGTCAGAGTCAGAGCAGCAGCTGTGACAACAAAAGCAGAGATCAGAAAGAGATTTGAAGATGTTGCACTCCTGGCTTTGAAGACTGAGGAAGGGGACAAAAGATAAGGAACGTAGGCAGCTTCTAGA